TTATCTTAGTCTTCATCCCTATAATTAGTTATGATAAAAGATTAAAGTAAATGGCATTAATTGAAAATTAGGAGACAGTATGGGATAGATAATTGATAGTGGTTCAGGATAAAGTTCAATATAAGAAGAGTGTGCATTATTATGCTGATACGCAATGAGAATAAGTGTCTGACAAAAGAGGCAGAGGTAGAAACCAACATACTGGCTCGGCTCAATACGTGAAAATTGAAGGATAAATAATTTATTTAGCATTAGTGTGATTTAATAGCTTGTTAGTCATGTGGATAAATTAAAATAATGTATATCTAAGTGAAAGTGCAGCGTTCATAGGCAGAATAACATAAGATCGCATGAAGGATTGGTTATATAGAAAGACTATACCAGTTCTTAGTCGTGGTTGTGAATGACCCAGACGATTGGGCCATGTGCAGGGACGTTCGTCTGGTATGCCACGAAGGAGGCGGCTACCCACCGAAAGCAGATATTCGACTCTAGGGAGTAGAGTATACTGACTTATGTCCAATATATAGTCGTCTGACACAGCCAGATATTAAGAAACGAAGATCGTAGGATAGTTGATCGCAAGCATACAAACGATACAATCAAAATAAAGACTATGAAATAAGACGAAAACGAGAAAATGTTATATAAGAGGTCATCTTAACCAAAACAATTTGTATTTTTAGGATTAAGTTCAGACTGTGTAAGGTTTGCGGAGTCAACGAAACAAAGATATCCTTTAATCCTTAAACAATCCTTTAGTCAGCTGGCACTGATTGCACTTATTACATTCGACAAGAATATCCTCGCACTTTCATCATGGCGATAATCCATTGCCATTATTAGCCTCTCTCTAAGTTTTATACTAATTTACGATATTCCACTCCCTGTAGCATCTTTACTATATATTTAGTTCAATTTATTAAAGTGTGCTTATACGAAATCTCGGATTTTCAAATATGAAGACATACCGAGGATGTGTATTGCGGCCTTTTCTCGAAACTTAAATTTCATTAGGCAACATCTAATCATGGCAATAGCAAAAATTCAATTTAATTACCATTTTACAAACTTTCTTAACAAAGAGGATATAAGCCTTTGGGGATAATTATGCATCAAATGGATAAGTAATTTAAATCTGGGGCAATTTTGACGATACATATATAGAATAGAAGTTATGCAAAATGAGATTTAAACGACATTATGGCCTATCAAAACCATTAAAAAGGTTTTCACAACATGAGAGGTAAAATGACCTTATTAAATAATTTAAAAAGCTAATAAAACAGAACTCTAGCAATAATTTAAGTATTCAGTTTCAAAAGAGAATAGCTGCGGCTGACCGGAATTACGATGCCCTCTTTCAAGCTGTCCATGTAAAGAGCTGATTGGTTTCGGTGGATAAGTTCCAGCTCGATATGCGTGGCAGGCCCGACTAGCTACAGAAGCCTCGATGTCACCAGACTCTGGCGATCGAGGACCTAGTGGCCCGGCTGAGCTTGCCCGAATTGGCAAATTTTCCGAGCTGCCAGCTGCCATTCTAAATGCAGTCACCTGGTGAGATGAGTTCTGTCCATAATTCGGCCACTTTTTCCAAGTCCCGCTGACTGGTTGCCAGACGGTGGCGTCTTCATCTGAAGCTATTTGGCCGTAATGGGAAAATTCGCCTATTCTTCTTCTTGGCACCAGTCCCGAATCTACTATGTGCAATCTGGGAGTGCCGAAGTCCTCCGACCAAAGCATGCCAATCCTGGGTTCACCTCGGTCAATATCATCGTTTCTATCGTTTCCACATGAATCAAGATATTGACCCATAATACGCTTCTGTAACCATTCAGGCAGATGAGGTAGCAAAGGAAGTCGTTGGCCTGGAGGATGTTTACGTGACAGGAGTCCCGCAATAATGTCCAGGTTGGGTGCGAATGTGTTGCTTAGTACAATAAATGTAAGTCTTTTGAGAGATAAGGAAGAGAATGTAGGAAAAATAAAAGTTATAGAGAATATTGGCACAATTAATTTTAGATTTAAAAAGTTTAGTGCAGACTCAACCATGTTTATGCAACTTGATCGGAGCCTCAGCAAGACCTTGTAGATCGTACATAGTTCCGTTTCCTCTGCCATAATATTCGTGATTTCTAGAATTGGGCCAATTAATGGTACATCCCAAAACGTTTCACCGGCATCACTTGTGAGAGGCGCCATCGTTAGCACAGAGTTACAAGTGAAGACAATCCCCTTGACCAATTTTCTATTCAACCGTTGTGGCATCAACCTTCATCCCTATTTGTTGTTCTTAATTCTAGTGCCGCGTCTCTTCCTCTCAACCCCACTTCATATGACACACCCACTTATTCACACAATATTATGTTCTCGCTTCCTCCAATGTAGTCTAAAGGTATGTCGTAACAAGTAGGTTTAGTGAAGCGTAATCATCTCCACCACCAGCACTAGGTACTATTTGCAGGACTCCAGACCTACATTCTGCCACTCTTTCTCCTACCCCGCTTGCCAATTAGTCGCTGATAGAAACATCAAAATCACTGTCTGGCTGTCTGAAATCTGACTGCCTAATAGACTTCAATTCCCGTCCCGAGGATTTAGAGCAGGTGATGTAGCTATCCATGCCTATGCCAGTGCCTGAGAATCGTCTTATCCCCAGGCTTCAAACCCATGACTTGATTATCCTCTCCCCCATCTCCCACCCACATTGTGTCTCATTCTTTGGGGCCCTGTGTCCAGCTTTAAGTTATAACCACTGGTGTGAAAACTCATCGCATACCTTTTCCCCCATGAATCACGAAAAGCCCACTTCTCTCATCCTTCAAATAGACACTTTCATCTAAGCCTAGGTTAATACGGTGTTCCTGTGTTTGCTGGCTGGCGTCCCTCTTGGTCAAGCATATCG